CTAAGCTTGCAAAGTTTAGATTGGCTCGTACACATTCGTACACATTCGATTTTGCTGCTGCAAAGGTACATAGGTATGTACATACATATGTGTGTAAAAATGTCGGCATCTAAGAAATGTAATTTGTTATATGCACATCTGCATTTGTAGACACATACATATATATTTATGCTTTAAACTATGTCTACGTAGTTTGTTTGCCACAACTCAAGGAAGTCAGCAATTTTGCACATTTATGCAATCGAGTAGGGAACATGTTTTTCATTCAGAAAGGAAAATATTAAAATAGGATTTATTATGATTTAAATAGAAAAAGAAAAAAAACGGTGGTACTTTATAAACACTTTTGAACTATTCGCTTTAGTCAATTAATTTTCATGGCAGAAATACGCACGAAGGTATTAAAATTTCCTCAAGGAGTGCAAGCACTTTAAGAAAACCTATTTATATGATATTTAATTTAATTTAATTTATCTTGTTTAATTTTAATTTAATTTATTTTTTTAGTTGGTTTATTATTTTTAAATAATTTCATTTTATTTAATTTATATAATTTGATTTTAACTTATTTTATTTTATTTTTTTTCTATGATATTATACTTTTTCTATTTAATTTATTTTATTTCATATAATTTGATATATTTTAATTTAACTTAATTAGATTTTACTTTATTTTAATATATTATAATTATTACATTTCTTTTTTTAATTTAATTTTTATTCATTTAATTTAATTTTATTTTGTATTATTTTGTATTATTTTGTTTTATTTCATTTCGTTTTGTTTTATAAATGATTTTCCCTCCGTACTGCTCTCGAATAAACTTGAGTGGCCACAACCGGTCAAGAGAGTTATGAGCCAAAAAGCACCCACGCGGTGTCTCAGGCACTAAAGCAAGCAAGACATGATTTATTTATAAGTTTTGCACATTGGCAACACCACATTTTAGCTACATTCCACTTCAATAATGCGGTTTCTTGCTTCAATTTTTTTTCGCTACTTATTAATCCCCAGCTGAGCTGAATGTGTCAATAAAACTTCACATTTGAAATTCATGCGTATTTTATTAGTTCTTCCCTCGAAAAGAGACCCATGGCTATGATCTTTGAATTTAAAACCGTTATCTATAACACCATTAGGCGGCCGCGGTAGCCGAGTGGTTAGCATAGCGTACTGCCATTCGGAAGGATCGCGTTCAAATCCTAGTGTCGTACTAACATCCAAAAAGTTATAGAAAATTAATTTAATTACAAAGATAAGTTAAATTTTCTAATAGCGGTCGTTCCACGGTAGGAAATTCCAAGCTCTTCGAGTGTATTCTGACATGAAATTAAAGGTTCCTCATAAAAAAACCACCAGCCGTTCGGAGGCGGCTTAGTATAAACTGTAGGTCCCTCCATTTGTTGGAAAAACATCAAGACGCAAAATCACAAATTGGAGGAGGAGCTCGGCCGAAAATCGCTTCAGAGGTTACAAATTTATGCGTACTCATATATAGTATATATACAGCCTATTTGCAGTAATTTCAAATTCTTTATCCTCAACTACCAGTTTTTGTGGCCCGGAAAAGTGAGAGCCAACCCTAATGCTTGATTTATTAAACTTAGTTTGTTTGTTAAATCAAATAAAGTATTTTTTTTTTACTAATTATAACCGTGACCCTTTTTACATACATACTCGTATGTAATTGTGTTTGAGAGTTGTTATTGTGCTACTGCATTTGGCTAAAGAAACAAATGCCGAACTGTGGTCCCTCACGGTAATGAAGATGTGTACTCGTGTACTCGCATACTTATGTACACGTGTGTTATGTACGTGAGTATAGTTTGATGTACACCTCTTTGCTGATTTCAAATAATTATATGCTAGACACCTATTACATGTAGTTATTTTTGGTTATCTTTTTATAACAAATGCAAATGCTTGGTATGTGTCATTGTGTATTTTATTAATGTTGCTTTGACATTAGTCTTTGATGGGCAATGACGGTAGCTTGTTGTTTGCTTCTATTGAGCTTCACTAGTCTATTCTATACATTTTTTCTTCTTCCAACGACTTTATTATTCTTTACATCTTTTTTGTAGCTGAGCTTTTGTTATGAGTTCATTCTTGTGATTCTTTTCATACATTTCCTTCAGAAGTTTTGTTTATTATCAAATATTTCCTTATTTTTCTTACTAATCCCATATTCACAAATATTAAATTCATTATTATGTTAAAGTAACATGATAAAAATATAACGGTACTGCTAAAGGCAACATGAATACGCTCTAAATAATTTTACCTTTTTTATTTCATTTCTTTGTATCAGTTCAAATACCCTGCGAAGGACTAAATTATGCATATTTCGATTGTTTAATTAAACACAAAGCCCAGTACTCCTTGGCTGGGAGGATCCATATCTTTTGTATGTCTTTGCATGAAGCAACATTTCATATATATACAAATCTTGCATTCATTCATAAAGACCTGCATTACCGACATACTGAAATTTATTGCTCTTCATTCCTCGATCAACACCAGCAGACGAGATTAATGCTTGCGAATCCGTCACATATAAGTCAATAGGCACCGTCGTTGAAGCAGATGAGCCAGTAATTATCCAAAGAATTGTTTAAATCTTTGGACTTGGCGGGGGTCCCATCGCACGTATTAGTAAATTTGAAAAACTGTTTGTCGCTAATGCTAAAGCAATATTAATCAGCCGAATCTCGGCAATGGAAGCAACAATTCTAACCAAACCTTTCAAAGGTGAAAACATCCTCATTCCTCCACTTCCTATGACTTCCTATGACTTCCTACGAGACTCAGTGTCAATCGAGCGGCAACAGTACACTGTGCGACAAAGCTCAGGGTCCAACTTTGGTAAAAATGTCGTCTACATTTAGATACGGACTGCTTGGCTCATTGTCAATTACGTGTTGCTTGTTCTAAGTGTGGCACACCACATTACCTTGTTATTTGCGTGACCGATAGTAAAAGCAAAAATGTTCTGTACCCACCGGTATTGAGTAAACAAAATTATGATGAAAAGGTATCCAATGCTTCTACAAAGCCTTGTAAGTTCTTAGAGTTCCAAGTAGGTGCATACAAATGAAAGATTCAAGCTTTAACTATGTCAATAAAACAAGCCTTCACGGCAGTTACCTTCATCAAAGTCAACCTTTACATACCAATAATGTTCGTTAGAAAATTGGTACCTTCAGTCTGAATTTCTGCTTAGAAAATTAAATCTGAAGAACAAAACAGCAACAATGATAGAATACTTAAAAAAACTGGTTCCACTAGAAGAAGCCTTTGCAAATTAACATAAATCGGAAGTTGTCTCAACACTCGTCTCTTTGTCCCATTGATATATTTTTATTAATTTTGATGAGACTCAATTTTAATCTATGCTAATTAGGCAGCTGCTGTTGTACGTACGTCTTTGCCTACTAGCAAATGGAGACTAGCTAACGGCAAGGAATGAATGTGTGTTTGTATTACAATACATACAAAATTTCGTATATGTTCGTATAGTATATGGGTATGACTGAAATATGTTTCCTTTCGCATTTTTTCCACTGACGATAGGTATAAAAAAGAATTAATTTAAGCTTAAGCTTTGAAACCATATTTTATCAGAATTCATTATATTTTAGAAAATTCTAATAATTAGCATAAGTAGGCGCCATAAAGGTTGCCGGCCTTAAGCTAGCTACATACACGTAGAAATGTAGTATCGATAGGCTTTGAAATGTTTACCTCTTGTAAGAGTTAGAAGGAGAAGAGAGACCGAACCGATCAGAACGGCGCCGAGTTAAGTATGTATGTATTTATAACGGTAAATTACTCGTACATCAAAAACGAGTATATATGTATATATATACTACATATATATTAATTAATTGAATACTTACATATTTACTTATTAATAGATATTTTTTTCTTTCCGAATTGATTTCTATTTAGAACGCAACAGTATTTGAGCGAGGTCCATTAAAAACAAAAAGAAAAAATACTTTTCAAAGCGTTGCAACAGATAATACGTCCACTTGGTATAGCAGGCACAATGAGGATGCCTCAATAAGGTTCTTGAAGTCAACATTGACAGGAGCCCAATTAATATACCAACTAAACTTTAGGCAAGTAAGTGCAAAGCATTGCGAGAAGATTGGAGGGGATTGCTGGTATTTAAAACGTGGTTGATGATTTGTCAGTCCTCGATTGTCCCCTGTTACCAGAATCTAAGTACAAATTTTTACAACGCTTCCTTTGCGATTATTTTGGCCAACTATTTGAATGTACCACAATGGTACAACGGTAAGTTATTCGCCATTAACCCAATATAAAGATAAGTGTGGTTGTATACATAGGTCCGAGAAAGGAGGGTGGAGTGCACTCGAATTGATCTAAGCGACCCTGACACAATGCAATTATCAAATGAAAACTTTAATTACGACAATAATCCAACCAAATTGAAATGGACAAGTCGAAGCTGTTAAGAAAATCTAACTGTAAGCGAATTAAGATAATTGGAGTCGTTAACATGCTGTTTGCCATTTTCAGCACTGTCGAGAAACGAGCAAAAAAAGTCATAAAATAAATGGAAAATTCAAAAACATGTACATAGTTGTACATACAAGCCAACGATTGTACATACATATGCATCGGAGAACTATTTATAGAACTAATAATAATAAATAAAGTAATTTAAAAAATAGAAAAAAAAAATTAAAAAAAATAAATAAGGTAGTGAAAATAATGGAAAATAGAATAAAGTAAAATACGTGTTCCTTGAATACGCAAGTATACATATTTATGTATATATATATAGAGATGTTTGGATTACTCTGTGAATTTTAGACTCCTTGGAATTTCCGTGAAAACTCAAGTTCCCAAGCCAAGAAAAAGATGGGTTTATTGATCATATCGTTGTTGTGATAATTTTGGTATTTTTCAAAACAGTGACGTGATTAGTTTATAATGACAATTAAATGTAAAAGTGTCTCCTACTTACGTATGACATTGTGACCTGGCTGTTGTTGTTTGTGACCATGCCATTGCGTTTGCCCAACAAAGACTGATTCATTCGATTTGTACCGTAGTACATTTCCCAAATACTCGGTTTCTTCCGATGCCACTCCAAAATGGTCTCCTTATCACCCGATTCGCCCGACTCGGCGCCGCAACCGTTACCGCCGCCCCCACCCTCGCTACTTTTCGCATTATTACCCTCCCCACTCACTTCCGCATCTGTCATCGGCGTTGGTAATGACTTTGCATCCAATTTATTTAGTACTGGTTGTTGGAAAGAAAGATTTCTTTGCAGTAGGCTTGTGGGCACATGCAAGGTGATCACATTTCGATCGTGCTCACGTTGTCTGTGTTCGGCGTTATCACGTTCGCGACGCGGTATAGACGGGCGACGCTGTTGCTGTTGCACCGCAGCGAGAGTATCAGACTCTGTATAACAATCGGACACGGGAAATACCTCCGTTAAGGATTTGCGTTTCATTTTAAAGTTAGGATCACTCACGCAGCGTATCGAAACAATTTGTTCGCGAATACTTGTCGGCACACCATTGCAGATGGCTTCGTAATTACCTAGATAACCGTAATCCGATTCGATTGTACCGAGACTGTGCGTCGAGCGACGTCGTTCGAATGCCTTCTTCATTTTAACTATGTTGTGATTACGCACTAGGCCGCTACACAACTGGCGAATCTCGAGTTCACTATGTTGGTTCATGCGATCTAAATAGTTTTCTAGCTCGCTCTTCAGTGTGTTAATCATGCCCTCCAATTCGCGTGGCAGTTGCTCGGTAGGCGCGGCCAAGCTAAATTGTCCTCCGGCACCGTGCGAACTCGGACTGTTACTATTGCCCGTCTGCGAGAGCAAACGTATTTTGTCACGCACATCTTCGAGTAGCTCGCGTGTACTTTGAAAGTGCAACTGATCCTCGTACCGTTTCATATAGTGATCGCCGACCGATACAGACTTCTCCGAAACTGTTCCAGTGCCGGTGACTATATCGCTTTCAACATGATAAGCATCGTCAGGGCAGGAATTAATATATTTTGCACACTTATAATTATTCTCCTCTTCCTGTTCCTCGGTGAGAAATGTAGGATTGTCGATGCCACCAACTTCAGGTATGGTTGACGATTTGCGCGCCGACTTGCCATCGGCCGCAGTTTTACGTTCGTTGACTAGGAGAAATGAGTCGAGGTCAATGTCGAGCAATGAGTCATCCACAATCTCATCAGGCCATGGACGATGAGGTTGAATTGTGGGATCATAACCTTCCATAATGGTGGGTAATTGTTGATGTGACGTCTGTGGCGGTTGTTGAGTACGTGCTGCGAGCTTTTCACTTCCGATGCTTTCCCCAATTGGCGTTTGCAAGTAGGCATGATGATGTTGCTGATGGAGATGTTGGTGATGTGATTGCACAAATGCAGCAATGCGTTCATGGGAAGTTATACTCGGAAAATTTTTCAAATGGCGATCGAGATTCTCGATGCTCGTTTCCAGTATGCGCAAGTTCTCGCTAAAATGCTGAGATGGAGGATAATTATCATCGGAGGTTTGTCGCTGTAATAAGAATTGTAAGCTGGCGGGTATTTTGGTCCCACTGGTATGGAGATCAACGTTCGCCTTGCGATGGCCATTAGAGTTTACAAGACGTGCCATAGCTCTGGCCTTCTTCGCGCCATCGCCATCGCAATCGTCCTCGCCTTCCAACTCACTGCAGTCCGCAATACCACTTTCGCCGTTTCGACTTGCTGCCGCACCGACAACACTGCGTCGTACATAAAAACATTTAGATGCACCACCTCCTTGTTTACTGGTCATATCTAACGGTGTTTGCTTGTTGTTTTTATTACTCTCACTGTTGGCGGCCTTTTTACTCTCTAGTGTTGCCGCGCTTTTGCTAGTTTTACTAGCGGCTGTAGTAGCGGTTGAAACGCCACTGCCACGATTCACGTCTAGGATATCTACAACCGGTTCACAATAGATATGTTCATCCAGTGAGTAAGTAGAGCAAACGTTTGAGCTGTAGTAACCGGACGAACCGCTTTTGTCCGTCGAATAGTGCGACTGATGTGAACTGGTGCGTCCACGACGCTCAACGCTACCACTCTGGGCCAATTTGCTTGCACTGCCTTTTGACGTTTGGTTGACTTTGCTTGTGCCCCCCTTTCTCGTATTCGATGCTGACGCAGAAGACTCTTCGTCGTGTTCGGAGCTAATGCTCGACGCGATTGTTGTTGTTGTAATTGTCGAACTGGTAGACGGTTTTTTGACGCGCACCGCTGCACCCGGCGCCGAGGTGGACGTGTTGCTGGCTTTTGTTGGGGCTTTTGTTGTTGCCGTGGGTATTGCTATTAGCTTGTTTTGCGTGGCCTGGTGAGCGACTCTAAAAGGCGCGTGACCACTACAATCGACGTCGCTGGCGACTACTAAACTGGCGTAACCATCGTTGCTGTTCGCATAGTTCTGCATGCTTTTGGTGGTGTGACTGCTACTGGTATTGCTAACGCTGTTGTTATTGTTGCTGCTGATGTTGGTATTTATCGCCTTAGTATTGTTGGATCCAGCAGCGGCAGCGGCAGCGGTAGCGGCAGAGGAAACAACAACTTTACACTTGCTATTTTTGCCATTGTTAACGCTGCTGTTATTGTTGTTGTTGTTGTTGTAATTTGTATTTCTGTGGCTAATGGCATTGGTGGTCATCACCATCATTGACTCTTTACCGTTGCTCTCCTTGCTGCTGTTGCCGCTTACTTTGTTATTGTTGTTGTTGTAATTATTAAAACTGGCACTTTTGTTGTTGCTACTGCTGTAGCTGCTTTCGCTGTTGTTGCTATGGCTATTTTGCAGCAATTTGTCCCCGCGTCCACTACTGCTCGCAGCCGATGGCATTGAATTCACATTGCCAATACTGAAAATAAGAAAACACAACAACAAATTAAAGAAAACGCCATTAAATAAATAGAAAAAAATAAGTGAAAATATTAAAAAGGAAAATTTACTTCAGCTCAGCTGGCGAGCGAGCAGGCCAGAAAGCGCGTGAGTATCGGTGTATCTACGAGTATACAAACGCATACATAACATACATACATATATATATTGTATATATATGCTCACAAGATGCACATATGTACATACACCTATGTACATTATCTAGCTATTAAAGTAAGCCTTCATTTTATATCGGGCTATGAGCAAATACTCTTTCTTACATTTATTCGTTTTTATTTTTTATTTTTTATTTTTTATTTTTTATTTTTTATTACGAAATTCGTTGAGTTGCATGTGGAAATTTTACTTTTCTTGTTGTTGTGGTAGAAAAGTGGGCCAAACCACATGTGAGTCTTTGAGGCCGTCAATTGGACATTCTGGCTGCGTTTTGCAGGTTTTTATGTTGGTATGCGCAGGCAAACACTTGTAAGCATGTATGTATATGCATGTATATAGGCCTGACATTGAAACTGTCGTTTTCCATCCGAGCAGAAATAGAAAGTGACCACATTCGGTGCAAGCACATACATTTGCACATAAGAGTTTGAGTGCGCATTGATCTTGCTTTCAAGAGCTTTTAATAGCGAATTTATATTCAATCATCAAAGATAATATTTTTGAGGCGTGGACAAGTGAGAGCTCTTGACTATTCGGAAAATTTCGTGTTTTATTTTCATCTTCGGGTTTCTCAGAGTATCATAGATGAATAATATTATTCGGAAATTTATGATGTGGAAGGCTCTTATAGGGATTCCTCTATCTTTGCTTCCACCGGCGGGTGCTGCATCGAAAATGTTCAAAGCTGGAGTATTCTTATCCACATGACTTATCCGGCGCAGGCGCTGTTTCTTGATTCGCTGACCTTTGTCAATGTACGGCGCAACGTTTTATCTCGTAGGGGACCATACATCTTACGCAAAACCTTTCTCTCGAAAACTCTTAGCACCGACTCATCGGCTGTTGTTACATCGTCTACGCCTCTGCGTCATTTAGTAGGACAGGTGTGATGAGCGACTTGTGCAGTTGGGTCTTCGTTCGTCGATAGAGAACTTTATTTTTCAATTGCCTCTCAGTCCAAAGTAGCACCTGTTGGCAATATAGACTGTGCGTTGGATTTTGAAGCTGTCATTGTTGTTGGTGTTAATATTTACTTGTTCCAAGATAGACGAAGTTATCTAGGATTTTAAAGCTATGACCGTTAACAATGACTCAGGCGGTTCCTTATCCAACCTAGAGAAAGCAATACTCACGGCGCGGTTGTTGGAGCCGATAATGTCCATATCATCGGCGTAAGCCAGCTCTTGTAATTTTTTCCAGCAATAATTTAAAGAAGTTACACCATAAGGAATTACCCTATCTGAGAGGTTCTTGCCGGTCCTAACGTCAGTTTACATAGCCGTATCAATTGTGAAGTGAAAGCGAATTTAGACATAGCGGCTTAGAGGTGCTTTGGGTCGATCCACATTTAAGGGATCTTTTCGAAGATTTGGCGCAAGGTGAATTTTTGGGTAATGGTTGCTTTACCAAATCTAAAGCCGCACCGATAAGGTCCAATCAGTTTGTTGACGGTGGGCTTTACTCTTTCATACAATACCCGCTTTGCTGGTTTTTCATGCAGGCGATTGTTCTCATTCGAGGCGCTACTAACCTTTTTATTGGAGCTAGATTCTACGTGGCGGGTCTCAAAATCAGTGCACAACCTCGATAGGCGAGTAAAATAAGATTTTTTACACATTTACATAGCGAGCCGCTTGCTTCAAGACCGACGTCCGCTTGCAGCCGCACTTCTGATGATCCAATCCAAAGAAGTATGAAAAAAAGTCCTATTTTGGGGTTCCCAGACAATTGAAAAGTAAAGTTCTCCCTCGGCGGATGAAGCAAAAGCTTCTCAAGCCGTTTCTCTCAAGCCTTCTCTATCTATCTAGCGCTAGTAATACCATTTATCTCAAATATAAGCAATATTGATCGACTTCAAAGACAATGGCTACGCTTCCAGGGTAGCCTGGACCATTAAAAAAAAACTTCATCTTTCGATGCGATTCTCGCATGGGGTAGTAGAAGGAACTTAGTTTTTAATAAAAGTGCAGATGGGGAGGGTTCTGGCTCCACAAGGTGTACTCAATTGCTTGCTTATTTGTATTATGGATTCGTCCCATAACAAGGCGCGAATGCTCTGACTGTTTGGAAGGTATTCCGTTCTGTCTTCGTTGACTACCAGACCCATTCGCTCCGATTTCTTGCCTAGCCTAGAGAAAGTAGAAGTAACGGCGTGATTCTTAAGGCAAATGATATCAATGTCGTCGGCATACGCCAGCAGTTGTGCACTCTTATAAAAGATTGTAGCTTGTCTATTTAGTTCTCCATGATCAAGGTGGAGACATAGCGGCATAGAGGTAAAAATGATGTCTTTCGTTTCCTTTCGATTTCATCCTGGCAGACTTCATCTTACCAAAAATTAGTTTGGAAGTAGGTACCGTATGCCATTTCTCTAATAGTGCCGAACAGTACTACGGAGCGGAATCTCACTCTCGTTTTTCTTTGACAAAACCTGCATTTGAACGTTGTTTATCGACTAGTCGCTACTCTAAGAAATGAATCGAGCTCGTAAAATGCTAATGTACAAACATTTCCACAGCACACTTTTAACCCAACGAATTTATAACGTTTTAAAAAATTCCGTTCAACGATTAAATCTGTATTTGGGAAATCAAAAAAAAGAAAAACGCACAGAAGTATACATTACCAAAAGCACGTAAAACAGTCAATAAAGCAAATGGGTTAGCACACAGGAAAAAAATCTCCTTCGATTTCGAAATTCAAAGCAATCGCAAACTCGTTCTAAACTCACAAAACAGGAATATGCGGCGTAAATAACGGTTTACAGTATGAACACTTAAGCAACGAGCGAACAAGCCAAAAAAGTAATGATTCCAAGTAAGTCAAGAGGCAAATGCCGCAATTAGTCTACGACTCTCGACTAGTCTACCACTTCTTTTGTATGTCCATACTTACATACATACGTACGAGTATGTGCTAAGTGGTCAACTGACACGCGGCGGAGGCTTTAGTGCACGAGTGTCTTACAACAAATAAGAGAAAAAGAACATAAAAGTGAAATGAAAATACAGCGGCCCGGTTCGTGGCGGCGGCTGCCATCAGCAACGACAACGAAAGTGGTTTGACATGACTCTTATAGCTTTACCATTTTGTCATGCCACATCCGTGAGGCAGCATCGGCGACGTATACAAAAATATGCTAGAAATGCAGAAAGAATTGTTGCGCGTGCGTGTTGAGGCTGAGATAATTCAGTATTACAGCAATGCAATTCTCGTTCTATCAGTGTTGCCGTTAAAAAAAACAGAAAACGTAATTCTTTATTCAATAAAGCGTGAATCGCTTTGCTAATGAGAAACATATAGCTTCGTTTCACGGTGAAGCACATGCTTTAAATTTTGTAGAACTCAGTACAGTATTATTATTCTATTCGGTTTTCTTCCACCCAATTCGGACAGCGCTGCAGTTACATCCCGGTGATGCCGCTTCTCAAATCTCTACCGCTTTAAGTACAGGGTGTCTGAGTTTCCATTAAAAATTAGTTTGCTTTGATATTGATAAATATAGCATGTTATATTCAAAAGGTGAATTACAGCGAACCAAAAAGTAGCAAAAATTTCAATCATAGTGAAAACGGCAACACTGGTTCTGCCCCGCTTTTTGCATATTCTATTTGGTCTCGCCACGCCACGCCACGCCACGCCTAATGTTTGTCATTGAGTTGCTATTTGGACTCGCGCGTGCGCTCATGCGATCTCATGTGATGCAAGAGTCGTTCGCCTAAGCGGCTGATAAATTGCTCAAAGCGGCAGCACTGATAGAAGTCTTAAAATAAACTCAAAAAAGTTATAGAGTAATAAAATGTTGTAACTAAGATTTTTGTTTACGCTTCGTTTTGGTTTTGTAATTTGTGCACTCAACACGAGAAAAAATTAAAGTTTTTGCGTAATGTCAAGTTACAAAAATGACCAGGCGGAGTGCGTGCGCGCACTCGAGCGCAACCTCAGCGACCATCAAAAGGCTTGTTCATTGGAAGTTTTATGTCAAGTCCCCAGTGTAATCTTCATGCATGCACGCATCATTTAACTAAAGAAGACTGCCTCGAGGGCAGGAAAAAGTAGCCACTGCGGCAATGCCAGTAAGAAAATATTATCGAAAAAGCTTTGATGTGATAATAAAATCTTCATAAACTCAGCAGTTACCTGCAGTTAGGGGATTTATTAAGCTGCAACATTGCTTTGCTAGCATGGAACATAAATCTCACACTCAGAAAATTGTTTACCAGTTTTTTATTATTGGAGTTTTTATTAATAAATGCACCATTTGGGCCCCTTACGTTCATGAAGCATTACATTTCATTTACCCGGGAGGTTAGCAGCGGACTAACAAGTGGAGGACCATGGGTTAACATTAGTATTTATTTATTGGATCTGCTTCCGAAGCCTTACAATAAGTAAGAAAATCTTAATTTACTCTAAGCCATAAGGCCCATTAGTAGGAGGGCTGCTGGCTTGAGGTAGCAGTTTAGAAGGCTGGCTTGTCTCTTTTCTGCAGGTGGGCTTGACTTGTCGCGTTGGCCTAGGTGTTAGCCAAAGAATACGGATGGCTACGCAGTTTTTTTATTTAATTTTTTATCGCGATTTCAACCTCTTCTTTGATGGAGGGTATATTTAGCTCTCTATAGATATTTTCATTACGTATGTATCATTGTGCGTCCGTTGTTACTCTGGAGCAGCAGAAATGTTAAGCGGTTAAGGGTCTGTCTGTAATTTCGCCAGCTTGCGGAGTTGGTACATTTTTGAGCTTGACAGTAGGTAATGTTTTTGGCTTTAGTGTAGTGTCTTTTTCATTTAGTATCAGCCCTG